AAAAAAAAAAAAAAAAAAAAAAAAAAAAAAAAAAAAAAAAAAAAAAAAAAAAAAAGAATGAGCCTAGGGTTTGAAGCCAAGCTGACCTTGGAACAAATCACTTAACTTTTTAGAGCTTCCCTTTCCCAATCCATCAATGGCAATGTTTCCAACTACCACATGAATTTTGGGGGGGAATGTTTGTTAAGTACACATACATCAATGCCTAGCACACAGTAAAACACTACGATCAGTACCATTTCCTCCCTCTCCTAAACAGCCCCTCTTTTCACTACACCCTCACATTTATTACAGGGTGAATCAGCAAGATTATGTGACTTTCCAAACCCCAAGGGTGGAACAGTAAAGAATATATGGTAAATAGGTTATACAAGGAGAAAAGTAAAGCTAAGAAGGGACTGACGAAAAGAAATGCGTGAGGACTGAAGATTCAAATGAAGGCAAAGAGCAGGTTATGAAGTAAAAATCACTAGGATAGAGAAGACTCATTCTAGGAGATGACACCAAAAAAAACCCTTAATACCACAGTTTCAATACTATTTTGAATGTGTATGCATTTCCTTAAAAATATCTTCACTGACAATTCATTAATATATAAGCTCTATGTGAACTGAAGAAAGATCACACCTATTTCTTACAGCGTAACACATGGTCTATATTAAATACTTAAATAAAGCATGTAATCCAGGGCCACAATAATATTTTCTATGTCCAGTAAACTCCATCATCCTTTCATTTACCTATTCAACAATTATTAAGAGTCTACGGGACCTGGCTACTTAGAGCGTGGTAGTAATAACACCAAGATCCAGGGTTCCATCCCTGTACCAGCCAGCCATTAAAACAAACAAACAAAAAAAGAGTCTACTTGTGCCAGATAACAGTGTTGAGCACTAAGAATACAATGTTAGACAGACAGGCCAGTTGCCGTGTTGGAGCTCACAATCCAACAGTTGATTCATTAAACAACATGGGCCACCTACCACAATTACTAAATACTAAAAGTAAATAAAACTTCTTGCATTAAGCTGGACAAGTTAGTTCAATTAACTGTTCCTAAACAGTAACAATATACTTGCTATATTCAAAAATGTTGTTTTTAATTCAACTATTTTAGCTGTTAATTCTGGGCCCCATACTTTAAGCAGAACATTTAACAAACTAGATATAACATAATATGAAAAATCTGAAAACCATACCTTATGGAAAATGAGTTTTTTGGCCTAGAGAAGAAAAGACTCAGAAGACATGACAACTGTCTTTACATTTCAAAGTGCTAGCACACAAGTGTGCTCTGTACCATTCCAAATGTATACTCAGAGCAATGGGCAGAAGTTACATGGAGGTGGATTTGTTTCAATATGAAGAATTCTAACAGTTCAAAGCCATTCAACAATAATTCGATCCGCTTTATTTCTGTAAGGCTGTATACTTTACAAAGGACAAATTTTCATTTAATTTCTTGAAATATATTTAAAAAAAGACAAGTATTTCCCTGTTATAATTCATGAAACTGAGTCTCCAAGGGTCTTCCTGAGAAACTAAGCAAAACAGGATAAGAACTCAAATCCCAAATCTTATGGAACATGCTGCCTCAAAGTAACACGCTTCTGACCTCTAGATGTATTCAAGCCCATACCAAATGGCCACCTGCCAAGAATGCTGGCCAAGATATTCTAAAGCATCTTCCAATCCAATCCTTCAGAAATACTGGTGGTCAATATAAACACCATAAAAGACTCAGGAATGACTGGTTCCTGTAGAATGCAAGCTCCATGAAGGTAACGAATGACTGTCTTTTTTCCCTGCTATATTCCAGTCCCTAAAACAGTATCTAACATATGAGATCAATAAATATATGCTAAATATGAAAAGCCCTAATCCTACATACCACTACTATAGAACGTACATAAAATACATATTACTATTATATAATAAAGGACCTTACTGTGGTATCCAGCAACTAAAAACCCTGATAAACAGAAAATCCATTCTTAAAACTGCATCACACACTTAAAATTGCTATCTAAAATCCTGAAACTTAACCTGATCGGTTTGCAAAACAAATTCAATTGCAAAAAATGCAAACCTTTTGACAAACCTAAAACATTATAATTAAAAGTAAAATATAAAGTCTTACAAGATATAAAGTTTAAACCTGGTGAATGAGTTTTCAATGGCAATATTCTTAAGGCTTCAACCAGCATTTTCAGTGTGCTTGAACACTGTAACAATGAAGAGATGTATACAGCTCTTTCGGTTTAAAGAAAAAAGCACACTCAGAGCTCTAATCACATCTTTACAAATATTTACTAGGCCAACACTTCAAAAAGATCTGCTAATTTTACACATACATCTATTGTATTGAGATTCCACTTAATACATGTACTTAGAGGTCCTGGGCATCCACTTGGCATTACTGAAAACTATGACCAACAGAAAAAGAACAGCCATCCAAATGTCATTTTGGAGTACCCTAAATTATAAGACCTAAAATTTCCAGACATCTCAAAATACTCAAAAGTTGGTTTTAATTGGCTTTGCTTAATGGATAAGTATATGTCCATGCACACACGTTTTTTGGAGACTACTATTAAATAACAAGCAAGGCGAAGCTGCTACATGAAAGTTTTACTCCAATTTCACTAGATTAAATTACACCTTTAATAGATTTCTGAACAAAGACCCTGACATTTAAAGGTCTAGTTAACTTTAAAACAAGCAGGTACAGGTTTATAATAGTGTAGGAATGTACTAAGCAATTCACTTGGTTACACTGGGTTACACCAACTAGATTTATAATGTTATTAGCAACCGGGTGTCATCACAAACCAACAGAGAAACCACAATCCTGTCATTTTTTCTACTTATGACTTTGAAAGGTCATGGAGAACTACCCCACACAAGAATATCACAAAATAGGTATCTTCCTTATCTTCAGAATTTAGAACTATCAGCTTCCACATAAGCTTTTTTCACATATTAAAAAAATAAACTTTGCAGAAAGGCTGTTTTCCCATCACTGTATTAATCACATGAAACATTTACAACTCATAGCTAACTCTGATATCAGCACCTAATTCTGATTCCCCTTTATAATATTAGTCCCTGAGCTGCAGTCCATTCCTAAATCTCCAACAATGCAACCTCTTCATAGAACCTTCCAAGTTATGACCAACTAAGTCACTCTAAATTTACCCAAACTAACTGTGCCGGAAAAGCCAAGAATGGTCAAGAGAAACTTGTTACCAGTCTGACTGAAACTTTGAACTCTCCCTCAGAAACCTTCCCTGCCCGAGCTAGGAGAAAGCACCGTCCGCCCTGTGGCTTTGTCCCTCCTACCCCCTATAAAAGGTGTCCTGGGCGCGCGAAAAAGCCTCTCCCTACTTGTCGCCCCGTCTCAGGTTGTGTACTCTAGTCGCGGGTGTGGACTGGGGTGGCTTGAGGAGTCCAATCACCGCTTTCCCTGACTCCTGGGGCTCTGACCAGCGCAGCCACAGCCACTGGGACGGCGGGACTCACCTGAGCACAGGGCTGTAGGGGCTGCGGGAGCGCCGCCAGCTGCTGCTGCTGTAGGGGCTGGGGGACACGTCACCGCCCCGCTCGTAGGAGCTGTGGCGGCTGTAGCTGGGGGAGCGGCGGCGGCTGTAGGGGCTTGGGGAGCGCGGCAGCCGCCGAGAATAAGGGCTGCTGCCACCTCCTGCCGGGCTGGGGGACTTGCGGCTCCTCAGGCTCTGCGAGGCCCTGTGGGACAGCGGGCTGTCGTCCCGGCCTCCCAGCGGGCTCAGGGACCGCTGCCGCCGCCTGTAGGCCTTGGGTTCGGTCTTGTCCTCCCGGTAGGCCTTGGGCGGCTCCTTGTAGGCCGACGGCGGCTCCTTGGACGACTTAGTCCGGCTCCGGTGAGCCTTCAGGTCTCGGTCCTTGCGGCTGCTGCTGCTGCTGGACGTGGCCGAG